GTGGTTGGTTTATAACAAAGTTATTGGCAGTTAAGGTCCCTGTACACCTAACTTTGATGGTCAGAATGAAAAAGGGGTGTGGCCAAAACGCGGTCCCCGGGGGACAGTGAGACCCATTTTTTTTCTTTTAACATGCCTTTTTTTAAAGGGTACATGAAAATACCAGAGAAGTTCAGTAGTGGGGTGTGCAAGGTGACCCACCCTAATTTACAAACTACAAAGATGAAAATTTTCATCTTCTGTTGAGGTTGTGACTTTTTGACCCCCTGACAACATCATTGTTTGCATATTTGTTTAATGAAATGTCATTTAAATCGAAGAGCCAATCAATACAAATCTGCTGATACCCTTTTTCATGAAAATASCAGAGAAGTTCAAGAGCAGGGGRTGTACACGGTGACCCACTCTAGCCCATGGACTAATTATAGTTTAAGCCACATGGTTTTTACGCAGGTGTTTGGTGGTAAGTTGGGGGAAAACCTAATCAGAATGAAAGTGACTAAGTTCAATCTTGAGACTTTYGTTACCTGTGGTCCAAGGTGCTCCAGAACTGGGTGTTGGTTCTGATGGAACAGTAACACAAAACCAAGCTTTATACTTCTGTAGCCGGATCAAACTGGGTTCTTCAAAATGATTTATTGGGAAAACTTGGGACATGGCTGGTGTAGCACAGGCAGTATTTTGTCTACACTTATACACAGCAGACAGCTTCTCTGCCACCGGGGCAGATCAAAATAATTCATCTTATTTCCTTCTTCTCGCAGAAGAGAAAAAAAAAACGTTTTGAATTCAATCTGCTCATCAGCTGAGGTTTATTGCTTCCTCCAGTGGCAAAACCCCTCCGAATCTACAAGCAAGATAAAAGCAGTGGCGGCTCCTAAGCAGAAATATTAGTGAGGCGTATATTTATAATTTCCTGTGTCAATAACCACACAAATGTTTCTGTGGTGAAAAAAATAGGCTATATGTCGCTTAAAATGTATTTAAATAGTTTTTTGTGCTGATGCTGTTTTTCTCTCATCCTGCAGTTTGAGGTTGTGTCTTGTAAAAACAGTCTGGTCTAATAATTAAATCCAAATCAGGAGTCATTTTATTTTAACTCTGGGTCAAATTAAACGGGCAGCTTCCTGGACTGGGATTTGTAATTAGATTTTCAGCAATAAATCTGCAATAATAAAGAAGTTAAATGGGAAAATGAACACTGAAAAATCATTCCATACCAAATAGTTGCAAAACATACAGGACAAAACAATATACAGCAAGATAAGTAAATAAGCAATTTACATTGTTTATTATGAAGGTATATCAACTAGAATTAGCATGAACAGCTAAATGGTATATTAGATTGGAAACATTTCAAAAATGAAAACAATCTGCTTTGACCTTGCTTGTTCTGATAGTTAGCTTGTCAGTCAGTACACAACTATTTCTCCAAACAGAGATTGTTCAAAAAGTTATCTACAGCAGGTAAGATATTAACTGTTCATATGCTTTCCACAGAACCCCACTTCAAAGGATTTCAACGATAGCTTTAAAGTTACAGACTAAAGGTGGAAATCTTTATTCTAACAGTGTTTTTGGGCAGTATATGAAATCTTACCTGTGTTGCGTGAAGGATGAACTGAAACAAAATACATGACAATAGAGCTGGTTAAAGTTCACTAAGTAAGTTTATTATGACCTCCGTTACATGGCGCGGGGGTCAAATTGTTTTTGTAATCTTTATTTATTTATTGCTTTTTTTTCAGAGATTTTTAGTCAACCATAGCACAGAAATGACTGCACCTAGCAGAATGAAATCTGGTAGGAATATAAATGTGGCCGACCTACACCGGACTAGCAAACGGTTTTCTACATATTTGAACCTTTTTTTTGTTGTTTATCACTGATAAAGTCCTATCATTCCATGACATCATTGTGTTTCTATGCAGCTGCCACTTAGCAGTATGCAAAGGAATCAAAACCCATGAAKCAAATTTGTTATTTCAAGCCCGTACAAMCATGATCAGATCTTGATGACATTTGGCACAGATGTCCTATCTGACCAAAGACTCCAACAGCCCCACATTAATGTTCAGTAACTCCGYCCAAAACAGCTACTCAAACCGGTCTCTGTGAACCATTTTTATAACTGTAAAGCCCCTACAGTAGAATTTTCTGGAGAGATTAGGACATACATGACATCATGCATGTGAATGTGGTTTGTTTCATTATCACTCTAMTCCATTAGATCACTGAGAACTGATCTGCGTTTATTTTTTTTTTATTTTTCTCTATGCAGTATCTAGTCTGGCATTCAAAGAGGGAACCAGGTTTGTTTTTAACCTACAGAAAGAATTTGCATGATTTTGCCTGTTTAGCTTCGCTCGGCCTTTCARTGTTTTGCCTAACGTTCGTTTTTCTCTTTTGGTTTCCTTCGCCTKTTTTGGTTTTCTTTTCACCTCGCCACAAACAGGGAATTATGGTGGATTTTTTCCAACCCCTGCCTCAACATTTGTTCCCAATTATCTGATTGTCGTTAATATCTTCCTGTCGTTTCTTGTCTGACAGACGGCTGGTTTCRTTGCCTTTTACCGTTTTTATGAAGTAAATTTCAGTTCTTGGTTGTTTATGCTGCTATTTGACTCCTTTTTGTTTGGCTTTCCTTTAAAATAAAAGCCAACATTTGTTTTCTTCTGCCTCCCCCCTGGAACCTTTTACTGTATTCAGTTGCTCTTCATGAGTCTGATAAAGTAGCAAAAYAAATAAGAAGTGTAGTAACCATTGGACATTCAGCTTGGGCATTAGTTGGAGCGAGAGCCAACTTGGTGCAGTCCTTATTAGCTTCCATGTGCTGACTTGCATGAGTTATTTTCTTTGGAGAGGAAACCAGTTTCACAAGTTTTAATTCTCAAAAATGAGTATTCTCAGTTTACATGATGGAGAGACATTACTGCTCTGGCCTGGCAGTGTTGGATTTCACTTTTAATACCAACTGTTCTATAACTCTTCCCAACATTATCACTTTATAAGCTGTTAAATCTATAAAGGAAATCTAGATACTTACGTATGCACTCGAGGGTTGGGTTGATCCACTTCCCATTTTCACACTTGAGGAGATTTGAGGTTCCAGCTTTCCTGACGTAACCATCAATACATACGTAACGGAATCTGGTGGAACTGCCAATGCAGGTGTCTAGTGGGTTTTTAGTTTTACTCTTTTCTGGGATTGTAGAACACAAACAATCCCCTGGGAAAAAAGGAAAACAAAATCCAATTATGACAAAAACACAGCAATRAAGGAAGAAAAAAAATCTTGCGTTCTATCAATTTTGAGGATTTTACATATCAGGACATGGTAGAATTTACTAAAGTGTACAAAAACACACAACAGATGTCATTTTATTAAGATAACATAGAAATGAGGATTAAGTCTCAAAGTGGAATGTGGAGAAATAGGCAGATATAGTGTAACATTTCCAACAACTGCATTTCATCAAAATATAATGAATAAATACCACATCTATGTGTTTTTTATTATTAAAATATCTAAACATAATCTAAAATAATTTTTGAAGCCCTTTTTTGAGTATTAGCCACATAATGTTTGAGCAGAATTTTTGTCATTTTCAATGCGAGCTAGTAAAGACCTCTCCCCAAACCGGTTAATTTTAATATCCAAATATTATTTGAGGTTTCAAATAAATTTTTAACAAAAATGACGCCAAAATAGAAAACCTAGAGTTTTGTCAGTTTTGTTAATAACTCACACCTAGGGATAATTTAATTATGAATTAAACTGTGTGCATGTTAGCATCGCCAGTTTGTCCATGAAGTCCTCTGTACAGCAAAAATATTTTAGAGTTAAATGTGAGGCCATGTGTCAAGAAGGCCGGTCCAAAAACWTTAGCAACAAATCTACAACAGAATGGGTTAAAAAGAAAAGAATGGTCCGGAGCTGAACCAGACTGAAATGCTGGTTGGGAGACATTAAGAAATGTCTAATGCTGCAAAGAARAGTGGTCTAAATTTCTCCACAACCATGTGAGAGACTGATAATTAAACAACTCCAGTGATTGCCAAAGCAGGTTCTATAAGCTCCTGGATCATAAATTAGTTATTTTTTCATAGACAGCATTTAGGTTTTACCTAACATTGTATAGATCAAATTATTTACATTATCCCGATAACCCCAAAACTGAAACTTTCCCCTCATGACTGTAAAGTATGGGGCAGACAGAGTTGTAAAGTAACTAAGTACAAATACTTCTTTACTGTACTTATGTAGAGTTTTTGGGTATCTGTACTTTACTTGAGTAATTATTTTTCAGCTTACTTTTTACTTCTACTTCTTACATTTTCACGATTATCTGTACTTTCTACTCCTTACATTTTTTTTTAAAAAGGCAAGAAGTAAAAAGTTGTTAGGTCACTTTTATTTCACTTTTGCTTGTTTTCATTCCAGCTTGTTATTGTAAAAAATAAATTCTATCCATATAAATTGTGCCTCCTATAGAGTGAATTTAATTGTGGTTGAATGATAAGTATAAATATACACAAT